AAGGTTATTTTGGTTATATCGAGAGATATGGTCAAGAGAAGAGTTAGGAAGAGAGTTATTCTTCAACCAAGTCGAAACCCAACCCTTTAAATACATTTTCGAGTAGCAGTACAATTTAATTTATTGGACCATTTCAAAGGTTTGTTGCATAGTTGCTTCCAACTTCTTAGATTCGAATAACTGTTGGTGAAGTGATGTTGACAAATTGAATCAATTCAACATTTATTTTTACGTTATCAAATTCACGATTTTGATTGTTCAATCAACAATTGTATTGGTTATCCTTCGCTCAAACAAATAATTATTTTTTATGTGTCAATACTTAGTAAACGTTCTGGTCTTGGAATAATTCTTGCTAAATTTAATAAATCATTCCAAATAATACCAGAATTTCTAAATTTGAACATAGTAAACATATTGTTTTCAAACCACTACTACTCCGTTTTCAAAGATATAGGTACCGAATTTGCATGAAAGGTAGTATATATGTTGTATATTGGAGTTATAGAAAGATTTAATGGATGTAAAAATACAAATGATGTAAAAAACCTCATTGGAATACAGAAATTCCTTCTTTATCATAATACTTCTATCTATTGCAACTTCTGAAAAAATTGAAAATTGTATGTTCAAAGAATAAATTATTCAAACAATAAACGAATGATACAAATCGAATAATAAACAAATGGTGACAATTCGAATAATAAACAAATGATGATAACAATTCAAATGATAAACGAATGATGCCAATTTGAATAATAATAATAATAAACGAATGATGTCAATTCGAATAATAATAATAAACGAAATGATGATAATTCGAATAATAATGATAAACGAATGATGTCGATTCAAATAATAATAATAAACTTCTTACTTTACACAACAATAGGCATTGGGTTAGCAATAGGTTTTGTCTGATTGTGGCTTAGGGAACCCTTTGGAACATGGTTCTCCATTTGATGGTTACAATGGTGTGATCTGATACTTTATGACCAAATTATACAATGTTTTTTCATGATAGAATGTCTGCATGGATTGCATTAAGTGAGATGTTTCTTTTTTCCATGCAGGTAAGCTGTGCATGTAGATCATTACATGGTTTTGAAATTTGTCATGTTTGAAGAAATGCCCTAATTCATCATCCTAGGGTCCTTCCACAACTTGTTCCAGCATATTTCGGTAGTGCAGGTAAGTTGTGTTTACACATTTATTTCTTTTTAAAAAAGGGACAAATTCAAAGGCAAGGTTGTGGTTTTTGATAGATGTTTTGCATTTTTGGTGGCCAGTAGTATCTGGTTCTAATTTTGAAAATTTCTTCTTTTCTCAAGCATCAATGTGGCTAGTACCAATACAGGAAGAACCTAGCTATCTATTTAGGGTAGTATTTTTTAATGTCTCATAGCATCCCTTTCTATTGGGGAAGCATCAAAGATTCCAGGTCAGGGTTTCCAAATAAGTTCAGGAGTTTGACTCACAATCAGTATACTGTAGTTTGTGTATTTTTGGAGGAAAGAATTATTTGGGTCAACCAAATCTGGAGGATGGGGAACCTCTTCTGGAAGTTGACTGCAATAGTGGTTCAACAAGTAAGTTGAAATGATTAGATGTGGGCTTTTTATTTGATAATTTAGGTATAATTTTATTATATTTAAATTATTCAAAAAATGAAACCATTGAAACCATTGATTTGAAAAGGTAAGAGACAAACAATACTGCAATTATGATAACAATGATTATTAAAAATTACATTTATTTTTTTGTCAAAAATTATTATTTTATTTAGTATGCATATTTGACATCCGAATTTCAAAATGAAAAAAATCCAAAGAAGTTATTAGATAATATCATTACTCAAGACATTTAAAGTATAGTAGCCCAATAAATAAAAATAATAAATAATTTAATACATAATAAGTGACAGGATTTAACTTATTCAAATAAGTCATCTGGTATAGCTAAATCAATTTGTTTAGAATCTACAAAATATTTATCACAAGAGTGGATATTGTTAATTTTAAAATCAATAAAAATGAAAGTAATCAATGATTGAATATTAATAATTACCATTATTATTACCAATATTGATGTAACATTTGAAAAACTTTGAGGTTTATCAGTCCCGTGATT